GTGCAGTTACTCAGAGCTGCCGGCGGCACCTGTTGTTTTTAAAGATGTGGAGAGGAATTAACACGGTGAGGCAGCAGACATTGGGGAGACGGCCATTCGCATTTGGCTTTTCTGTCCGTCTTACAGTGTGGCCACAGCGGACTTGTGTGCACCCCCCGCCCCCCCCACACCCCAAGCCCTTCACAGGGTTATGCCTTCGACCCCGTGAGGGAGCCCTTATTTCTTCCCCCCGTTTACAGCCAAGCCCGGTGAGGGGAAGTCAGGTGACTGTCCCACAGAGTCAGGATGGGGACTGCGCCTTCGGAGGTGATGCTCGTAGCAGGCCGTGGACACTGCTGTCCTGTGTCCCCTGCTGGCCTTAGGCCCTCACGGTCGAGCCTCACGTCGGTGTGACAGCCAGCCCAGGGTTAGGCACTCTGCAGAGGGGTCGGATCCACGCTTTGATTTTGTTCCCGAATGACCCTTGAGTTGGGAGCCGTGAGCTGACTCGCTCTCTGGGAGAGGGTGCCAGGTCGCTGGCAGGTGACGGAGTCGGGAGCACCTGCCCCCACAGCCAGAGCTGCGGTCAGGAGCTCGACAGCTCACCCGCGGGATGACTCGGGGCTGTCGCCCTCCCTGGGGGCCGGTAAGCGGCCTGCCCGGTGGCCCAGTCAGGCACACTCTAATGGGGAGACTGTGTCCTCCCCAGGGTGTAGGGTTCCAGCCTCTCAAAAGGAAAAGGTCAAGAAAGTTCTGCGTTCTTTTTGTGACGGCGCGACACGTGTTCGAGGCTTCGCTCCGACTCCTTATGACCGTCCTGCCGTCCAGCCGCCTGCATTCTTCGACGCGAATGTCGTTTTATCGTTCCTGACACGGCACGACTCCGGCATGAATCCACGTTTCCAGGACCTGCCCCTCCCGGTGTCCGGTTTTGAGGTGCCCCCTCTCTTCCATCCAGCATTTGAAATCGAATCCCCGTCAGGCCTCCCCAGGAGGAATCGTCTGCAGCAGGTTAAAAGGCTGAGAAATGTGAGCTCTTTCTGAGAACCAAATGCTTTTGTGCACCGAGAAATCCCCACCGGCCGCTTCAGACACTGAACGGGCAGGGTCTGCGGACGGAAGGAAATAAGCTGAAGGAAAAGAAAAAGGGACAGACCCCAAGCGATGGCTTCTGGCTGGTTCGCCGAGAATCGGGAACCCGTTTCTGCGAAGAGTGGCACAGCTCGTTGCTTTTGGGTTCCCCCTGAAATGCATGGCGGCCTTTTGGGTATTTTCTCAGATGGTGAAGGGGCGAGCATGGTGGGTCCGTCCTCACTGGCCCCGGTTCCGCCTGCCCCGCAGCAGGCTCCGCTCAGGGCCACCTGTGCACACAGAGGGGGCCCATGTCACCCTCTGGCCAGTTTGGGTATCTCGTACTCTGTCCGCAGGGGTCCAGGCCTGCCTGCTGCTGGGGTCAGGTGGGGTCCTCCGGGCTTGGAGGCTGCCCCCCAAGACCCAGCCGAGCCCCAGGAGGGAAGACGCAGGGACGCTGGCCTTCGCCCGCCCTGAGTCTGCCACCCTCTCAATGCGAGAGTGGAGAAGACGCTCGTGTATTGCTGAGCCATCTTTCTCTTTAGTGCAAATGTGTGGCAGACTCTTAAAATTCATCGTAGCCAGTGTAAGGAGCAGCTCGTTCCGCTGAGCTCTTGATCCTGTGCCCCTCGCCGCCCGAGCCGGCAAAGCCATGCACTCGCTCGTCGGCCCGCGCCGAGCTGCGTCCTCAGCGCTCCGAAGAGGCAGCTTCGATCTCCGTGTCTTTCCCAAACACGACGCGTGGGCCGCGGGTGAGTCTGGTGCCGTCGGCGTCTCCTGAAGTTTGCCCCGCTGGGCCCTCACGCTCCCCGCTGGCCGCATAGCGCGAGACGTGCTGTCGTCCCTGGACGGAAACGGGACCTGAGCCCAGAGCGGTCACCCCCGCTGGCGCCTGCCCTTCACCCCTCCACCCCGAGTCGGCTCCCCGTGTGATCACGCGCTTACCTCTCGGCGCCGGCAGAGAATTTCCTCTGCTCTTACTGTATTTTCGTGCTGTGCTTCTCTCGATGGGACGGCTACATACTGTGCTTCCCCCCATTTTACAGATAAACATGGGGAAGGAGTTGGCACAGGTGAGTCCAGGTGGAGGGCGGCCAGGGGCTGTGAGCGGTGGGCGCACACCCAGACAGCTTTTCTTACGGAGGTGAAATTCACGGAACGTAGAAGTAACCGTTGGAGCAGCTGAGTGGCGCTTAGCACCTTCGCAGTATCGTGCGACATCCACCTCTGTCTAGACCCGAAAGCCTTCCGTCGCCCTAGAAGGAGACCCCGGGCCCCCCAGCGGTTGCTCCCCGTCCCCTCCAGGCCTGGGAACCACCAGTCCTCTCTCCGTCTGGATCACCCGTCCTGAACGTTTCACAGAAATTGCATTTTACCCCGTGTGACCTTTTGTGACAGCTTCTTTCACTTAGCGTGATGTGCGGGCGGTTCACCCACATTGTGGCGCGGGTTCCTGTTTATGGCCGAGTCGTGTTCCCTCGAGCGGACGTAGCACGTCGTGTGCGTCCGCTCATCTGTCGATGGGCGTTTGGGTTGCTTTCCCTGTTCGCTGTTGGGAACATTTGCAAACACATTTTTGTTTGGGTCCCCGTCTTCAGTTTTTGCGGGTCTAGACCTGGGGATGAGGTTTCTGGGTCACGCGGTAGCTCTTTGAGGAACCCCGTCTGGAGTCCCCTGCAGCGACATTTTCCTATAACCCACGGCCCTTCCCCCAGCTTCCCGCACGTTGTCTTCACGACGCTGTGCGGTGGCAGTCGGCACGTGCTCTAAGCAGACTGGCCGGGACACAGTGAACTTGCTGCCCCGTGAGCCGCGCGCGGGCTCTGGCGTGGGGGGCGGAGTGCCCTGGGGAGCGGGGAACAGGCCCTCGGATGTCGCGGCTTCTCCCTGTTGTGTCACTGTGCGTCTCTCCTCGTCCTTTCTGTTCTTAGCCTGGGAGGCTGGTTCTGTGGCCGAAAGCGCTGTCCCTTCCGCTCGAACACTGGTGAATCTGTGCGTAGGACTCAGGAAACGGGTGTCGGGCAGGGTTCATCAGACACTGTTTTTCCTGAGGCCACGTTTGCTGCTTTGATTAAGGAATGCCAGGCTCCGAGGTCTGTCTGGGCAGCGGGCGGTCGCAGGTCAGCAAGTGCCACTCAGTACGACTGTTGATTCTTTTTTCCTTCTGCCTTCCGTTTTTTCTCACTGTTTTGTCTTGAACCCCGTAGCTCCGAGCCGCTGATTACGAGCAGCAATTTACAACAACTGCAGTTTTGTAAACAGCAGCTTCGTTTCATTAAAGCTTCTCGAGAATAAATGCTGTTTACGTCCTTCTCCTGGAAGCCTCACACCCATCCCAAAAATGTAAATTATAAGTTGCGAAGGAAACACGGGGCTCGCACAGCTCGGGGATGGTTCTTTCCCCAGGATGGTACCTGATACTTAAGCATCCCGTAATAGGCACTTGTTCGTATTTTCCAAAGCGAGTTGCTGTCACCGAGCGCAAAAACAGATTATTTCTTATACTCATGTAATTGTTGCTTAACCGGAAGTGAAATCTTGAAGGGTACAGCTGGGCAGACCTTGTGATCTCATCGGCTGATGTAAAAGATTATGAGAGCGATTATCCATGAGCTAGGAGAGCGGGGCTCGGATTTGCCTGAGGAGGGTTCACGGGAGGCTCCCCATCTTCCGCCGGTGTCCTCAGAGTCCCCGCAGTGCAGAGAACGGGGATCCTCATACTAAATCCTCACCTTGTCAGAGAAGCAGGCCCAGCGACGGGCCTCGTCCAGGGCGATGGTCAGCCCCGGGGCAGCAGAAGGCCCAGCTGGGGTCGCCATGTACAGTGGTGCTGGCTGCGCACCACACAGCCCAGGGGTGCCGCCAGGGTGACCAGGCCCCTGCAGTCACGTGACGTGGCTGCCTGGCTGAACTCCTGTTACCGGAAGCTTCATGTCCTGCCTTCCAGCCCAGTGTCCTCCAATGGACGGACACTTCTTTGTTCCTATTAAAAAAAGGAAGATTTCTTTACACAGAATGAACTGTGGTTATTATCGCCCTGTCGAAAGGCATCGAGGATGATTTGATGAGATTATTTGTGTGTTTACAAGTACTTACCTCCAAGATTATAGTAAAGAAGCATAAAATCGCATCATGTTATAAACTCAAACTGACCTCGCCTATCGAGTGGAGGCACCAAGCCGGTCATTTTTGGGGTGATGGGAAGGACAGCACCCCAGGCCCCGCCTCTGCTGGGACCGAGGGACCATGTTCCCTCCGGGGGGGCGTCGTGCGCCAACGGTGAGGCCGGATGGTACTTCTCAGTGCCAGCTGGGTTGACGTAGGACGCCCGTAGGATGCAGGCCTTGTCAGCCAGGGCGTGCGGGTGGGAGGCGTGTTCGGATGCTTGCCCCAGCCCGAGCCCGCTCTCTGGGCCTGCCGCGTCTCTGGGACTCCGAGACTGGTTCACGGTGCATGGCTGGCATGTCTCCTGTTGTCTGCGTGGACGTGCTTGGTGTCCTCGAGGAGCAGGCCAGGAGACAGGTGTGGTGTGCTCAGGGACAGGGCGGGGCTGCCCAGGGAGAGGGTTGGTCCTCAGATGTAAATGGGAGCCTTGTCCAGAAGGGAACTCACTTCCCCCAGAAGTGAGTGGGTTTCACCCCAAGTCCCTGATTCCAGAGGAAGTCTTAGAGCCCGCCCTGGGCGAGGAGATTGTGTGTGTGACCCATGGGGACAGCTGGGGGTGGGGCGGGGAGCTTGGGAGGAAGGGGGAGCCTTGGTTTAGGGGCACAAAGGGTGGTTAACTTAGGGCCAGCAAAAGGTACAGAAGGGTCGTTCCGGGGCGAGGAAGGGCCCGAGCCCGGGGGTGGCCGTGAGCACCATGCCTTTCGGGGGGTGGCACAGGGCCGGGTGAGTCTGCCGAGCGTGCTGGTCGGGGAACACGCTGATGCCCCCGTGTTCTCTTCCGACAGCCCAACATCGGCCGCCTGGGCCTGCCCCACGGGCCGTCCGGAGAGAAGGTGGCCGTGGTGACGTTGGACGACTGTGACACGGCCGTGGCCGTACGCTTCGGCAGCCTCGTCGGGAACTACAGCTGTGCGGCTCAGGGCACTCAGAGTGGCTCCAAGAAGTGAGCATCCTGGGGGAGAGGCCCGGTGTCCACCGTGGCCACCGCTCCAAAAGGGGTCACCCGAGACAGGACCCCGACGCAGGGCGCCCCAGGAGCCCCAGCCCGGGCAGCTGAGGGCAGAGCCCTGACCTTGGTGGGGGCACTTTCCATCTGACACTTTAGAACCTTCTAGCATAGGCCCTCTTAGATGCATCTGTTGGAGTAGTGGCCAGGCCAGCCCCAGGCTGCGCTGGCCAGATCGCTGACCGGGACACTGTCCCCAGCTCTGTCTCCATGTCATCGCCGGCTTTGCTCCCCCAGCCGCTGGTCTCTGCGATTCGGTGTTTCAGGAGTGACCCCCCTCCGTTGGATTGGGGTGGCCCTGTCACTCTGCTGACCCGGCGGTGTGTCAGGCCTCATCTTAACTCAGGAGCAAAGAAGGGTGACAGTGACATCGTGGCCAGTCCCATGTTTCTCTGCCTGTAATGCCAGCTTCAAAAGCCAGAGCGAAGGTTCTCGTGGGACTCGTTCCCTCGTGTTTGGGGGAACATGTAATAAGCGTGTTGAAGACCACAGCTGGGTGAACCTGACCTTTCCCGAGCATCTGCTGTGGGCTGGGGACAGTCACACGCCCATTTCGTCTGGTCCTCACGCAGCCGTGATGGCCGCGGGGTCACATAAGCTGTGCCCAGGGAGATCAGACCCCTCGGCCAAGGCCACACGGCTGCTCACACAGAACCAGGGTTCTAGTTTGCCGTGACCTCTCTTCAGGGTCGTTAGAGACTGGAGGTGGGTGGTGCCACCCCGTTGGGCGCTACGCGTCCTGTGTCGGCCTCGGTGCTGAGCGGGACTCGGTGGGCCGTCACCTGAAACGTCCCGTGTGTCAGGATCTGGTGCATGTGTGAGGAAGCCGAGGCACAGGGAGGCTGAAGCCCGTGGTGGCACCGGAGGTCGGCTCCGCCTGCGTGCTCCGACTGCTGGCCCCGGCGCCCTGTGCGATTATTGACGTTTGCGATGACCAGCGTGCCTGGCAGCAGAGGCCGTGGGACGCTACGGCAGCGCAGGGCCCCTGTGGTCACGTCTCGCCAAGCGGCCGTCACAGGTGTCGGCTTTGCCTCCCCAGGTCCCTGGATCTGACGGGCCCTCTGCTCCTGGGGGGCGTCCCCAACCTGCCCGAAGACTTCCCAGTGCACAGCCGGCAGTTCGTGGGCTGCATGCGCAACCTGTCCATCGACGGCAGGGACGTGGACATGGCCAGCTTCATCGCCAACAACGGCACCAGGGCAGGTTCGGCACGACCGCCCCATCCGGCATCACGGGGCTGCGGCAGCCGCACGGGGGGCTCCGCCTCCACATCCGGGCAGTGACTTCCAGAACCGAGCCCGTGTCTGCCCAGGAGGGCGGCCGGAGCCCGGGGTCCCGGACATGCTGCTCTCGAGACCTGGGGTCCTGCAGGATGGGGTGGCCGTGACGCTGCTGGGACAGCCTGCCACCGACCCTGGGGACATTCCATCCCAGGGTCTCGAGCATGTCGTCAGATGACCCAGCCAGCTGGCAGGGTGGCCTAGAGGCCAGTCTCCGCGGCATCTCGGGTCTTAGGTTCTGACGGCTGCAGAGGGTCCAGGGCTCACCCATCCTCTGCTGTCAGTCACCGGGCTCAGTTTCCCATAGCAGGGTCGGCGTGGGGGTACAGGGACGCTCCCCCACGTCGCGATCCGCCCGTGCTTCCGCTCCGAGCCCAGACCGTGTGCTCTGTTTCCAGGCTGTGCCGCCCAGAGGGACTTCTGTGAGGGGGCCTGGTGTCAGAACGGCGGCACGTGCGTCAGCAGGTGGAGCACACATCTCTGCGAGTGCCCGCTCCGGTTCGGCGGCAAGAACTGTGAGCACGGTGAGGGCCCAGCGCTGCGGTGGCCGCCCCGCCACGGGCCTTGCAGTCCTGTGGTGCCGGGTGCGTGGGACCACTCGCACGGGCCAGCAGCCTCCGGCAGCACGCGAGTCCCCGGGCGGGCCCCGGTGGGGAGCGGGAGCACGCACGGGGCCTGGGCTGCGGCAAGAGCTTGAGGGGGGTCATGGGGTCACCGTAACAGGTGAGCTGGAGCGGAGGCGGGGCGTACGGACGGTGCATCCAGATGGTGCAGGACACAGCACCACGTCTGAGCAGGGCTAGCGTGAGGTCTGGAGTCCGCGAGGGTCAAGCAAGGTGGGGTGTGGCCGGGCCTCCTGGTGGCTGCAGCCTGCACTCACACCAAGGCCTGAAAAGACAGGACCTCCAGTGTCCCTCTCGCTGTCCCAGAGGGGTCCTCCAGCTGGCTGCTTCCTGACGGGGCCGTGTTGTGGGCATCAGAGGCAGAACCTCAGCTCCCCCCGCCACCCCTGCATCCAGCATGCAGTTAGAGACACGCGGGTTTTAAACAGTCCATTTATTTTGAAGCAACATAGTAGTAAGTTTTATCATTTTTAAAATCGGGACACTCTCCAAATCTCAGGTAAACCAGAGGGTGGTTGAGGCCGGGGAAGTGTGGGTGTGCTCCCCAGTTCTGCCCAGTGCTCACGGGCTCTGAGAAGGCCTGTCCTGGAGCTGACCCCAACCCCATGGGGATAGGGTGGACACCTGTCCCCCTCCCAAGCACGAGTGCTGTCCCCGGGCCGGGCGCAGCTGGTCTGACGGGCACCACCTCTCTGCGGAAGTCAGACGTTCTTTACGTCGGCCAGGGTCGAGGGTCCGTGAGTTTTGGGGGGACAGAGTCCACAGCTTTCTTCAGATTCTCAAAGCAGAAATAGGAGGGGGGCGTGACCGTTCAGGGGAGAGCAGGGTTCACCCGCGGGGGGGAGGGGCAGACGCGCCCGCCCAGCCCCGCCTGCTCCGGCTGTGACTTCTGGAGAGGAAGCACGAGATGAGGAATCGTGCCACATCCGCAGCCGTTGCCTGGGACAGGCTACTCAGCGAGGGCCAGCACCTTTCAAAGACCAGTGGGTCTGTTTTCGGGCAGCAGGTGGGCCGGGCTCCTTGGGGCCCTGTAAGCAGGTTAGGCCCAGCCCTGACTGACCGGCATGTGCAGGAAGCTCAGGCTGCAGGGCGGGGCTGCAGGCCGTTTGGACACAGTGCCGGGTGACCTCCCACGCCCACAGTTCCTGTTATGGAGGCTGTGAGTCCGGCTGTGGCAGTGCCAGGGGAAACGGCTGCCAGGGTTTGGGTTCATAAGAGCAGGAAACAGACACCCAGTGCTCTCGAGGCGGGCACCCCGAAGGCAGCCCCGACCTGGCGTGCCCTGTGCTGCTGGCCCGCTCTGGAAGGCCTACCCTGAGGGATCGGAACGGGCCGCTGGCTTCGACACGCAGCGGTCCAGGGGCTGCCTCCGCATCGGCTGACTGGCGTTTCTGAGTCATGGGCTGGATGAGGCTGTTGGTCCCCATCTTGTCATTGTCATCTCCCTGGTTCCCCAAACCATATGGGAGCCCTCGGCTGGCCAGTGGCCTTGCCATCTCTGTGTCCGTCACCAGGAGCCTGTCCCAGCTGATGGCAAGCGGGTCAGGCAGGGTGTGCAGTGTTCCCTGCAGGCTCCTTACCTGGCAGGTGTGGGGTGGGACGGGTAGGCGGGGCTCACAGGCCCCCGGCATCTTGTCCTCTGAGCTCAGGGATCCTGAGCCGCCCCACTCTGCCTGTCGTCCCCTTGCCCTGAGAGCCCCCTGCCATGCCCTGGTCATGGGCAGCTGTGGGTAGGAACCCCCAAGCCTGGGCCTGACTCCCCAGAAAGGTGGCACGTGTCCCGGGGCTGGGCCTCTGCAGAGCCGCAGCCCCTGGGTCGAGGGTGAGATGCCGCCAGGTGGAAATCGGAGAGGGGCCTGGGCCTGGGAAGGACGGAGGCCGAGGAGCGCGCCCCACCCTCCCCCGGGAGCCCATCCCCGGCGGCCTTCAGACGGTCCCGTGTCTGTG